TCTAGGCCAGTCTGGACCACTTAGTAACAACAACAAAACATAGAGATGCTCTGTAAGTATAGGCATGTTCACTTTACTGACACTTATATTCACGGAAAATTAGAATTAAAATTACTGAAAGATAAGAATGGTAAAATTACATGCATCTATTAAAATTATGTTCCATAGCATGGTTAAGTTTTTAACGTTTGCATTTCCACTGCATGAATTATATGATGACAATTTTTCTAAGACACATATTATTTAAAATTTTGCTTTAATTGCTACTGCATAAAAATCTGTAAGGAAGTAGATAAAAACAATCTTAGAGTCTATAATCTATGGGTTCTAAATACCTTGTATTTTCCAAATTATCTAACATATCCATAAAATTAACATTATTTATAAAATAAATTATATTGGATTATTCTGTTTTTATCAATTCACAAATTTATATTCTATATAATTATACTGAAAGCTTTTCAATAAATTCAACATTTTTTCAGTTTTATTTTTGGCACTATAATAAGTTAAGCTTCATCATCACTATTTTATATTCCATGTTTTTAAGTTACCCATGGCTAATGCTACTCACAAATATTAAATAGAGTCTTTGTAACATAATCATATAGTCTAGTGTCAGAACACAGTCCAAGAATGGAGTTGTGTGAGGGGAATTCTGAGTGCTTGTGAGAAAATTCTGAGAAAACAAGACAAGAGTTTTGTGACATCAGTTTCTTAAAAAACATGGAAGTGTTCTAGGAATGTTCTTTTGTGACCCTCCTGGTGAAGCAGGTAGGGGTAAGTTTACTTCAGATTATTCATTACAGCTGGCTATTGTTATTTGTTTATATGCCTCTGTGGAAAAATATGCTTTTGCCACGTGCAGTTTGTCCTTGTGATTATATGCAGCTTGAACTCATAAGAGCTTTACACAGGTGACCTTTCTTAACCCTTAGAGTATAAATTGTCTGATGCTCTGAATAAATTTAGTTATTGTGTGAGACTTTAGTCCAACTCATTTTTAGGCTCCATTCTCCCAGGTCTCCATGCCTTTAGAGTGGTAAACAGTCTAGTACTAGTGGGTAACCATGAGGAATAGAAAGAGCACTCCCCCACCCCCCACCCCATCCCCCTACTTGGAGGCTGCTGGAGCGTCTCTGAACAAAACTCCATAAGGAGGTATTGTTCTCTGGTATTAATATTTTGTTTAATGATTCTGGCTTCTAGGGACAGGAGTATCCAGCCATGCTGGACATTTTCTGTCTGTTTTTGGGTTTTTTTTTTGTTTTTTTCAATTGCGTTTTTTTTTTAATTGACTTACAACGTATTAAATTTCCATTGAGTTTTTTGTATACTCTTCATTTTGGCCAACCTTTCCTGTTCACTCACTTTTTGTTTCTTATATCCCTCCATCCCTGTTTAAACCTTTATACTCCAGTACACAATGCATCTTTGTTGTAATACAGAAAGAAACCAAGCTGGGATTGAGCTGGAAACTTCTGTGCTGCCCATCTTTCATAGTGCATAAAGTTTTATGCATGCTACTGGAAGAGAAAAGGTATCATTGTCCTTACCCAGCTATGAACCTTACATACTACCATGTCAATTTACTAGGCAAGAATTTCCCAGTGGTATAATAATGGCACAGCTGTCACAGGGTGGCCTGCCCCTCTCTGATTGCATTTGTGGTCCATTCCACAAAAGGTAATCCACGCCTACTACTTTGTTGTTGTTGTTGTTTGTTTTTCAAACAGGGTTTCTTTGTGTAGCCCTGGTTATCCCAAAACTTGTTTTGTATACTAGGTTGACCATGAATTCACAGAGATCCCCCTGCTTCTAATTCCTTAGGGCTGGGATTAAAGGCATGTGCCAACATGCCTGGCTACAAGCCCACTACTGTAAATCCAGTCAAAAAATGACTCCTGAGAAGTGGGCCCTAGAGGAAACTTACTACTATTGTTCAGCTAAATTGAAACAGCACCAAACTGCCTTTTCAATAATTATGTTTATACCTATAGATGAATGCCATTTTCTGTCTTCGTCAGAGAAGTGCCTCTTTGTAATGAACAGCAATGACTGTAGGAACACATGACTTTTCAAGTTTCTGGGAAGTGATTGGGTGTTCAGCCCTAAACAATGTATTTATTTCACCTTCGCTAATTCTATAAAAGGGATGGAAAAGTAGCTAAGATCTAGAAGATAGGGAAAAGGGCTAGGAAATGCTATTTTGGGGGGCATGACACAGCTGTTGAGGTCATGTTCTCACAGGAACTCTGGTGGCCTGTACTGGGCCTCAGCAATCAGGTATGTACCAGTAAGGGCATTGTGAGGCTGAACTTCTGGCTACTGGGTGACTCTGGAAGAGGAGCAGCCATTGTCTTTGGTTGTAGGTTCACTAGCAGGTCCACAGTGTACCAACCGGAAGTACTAAGTCCCTGATTATACATATGGCTCTTACTAAATTCAGTGGGTCATAAAACAAGTAAAAAGTCACAAATGTGGAAAGGGGACTTATCAGGAGGGGAAAGAGGCTTGATATGGAGGAGATAAGATAATGGGGTGTTGCTGTGGGATAATGCTTTTGTACACTGGTTTAATAAAAAGCTTATTGGCCAGTAGCCAGGCAGGAAGTATAGGCAGGATAAACAGACAAGGAGAATTCTGGGAAGAGGAATGCTGAGTCAAGAGATGCCAGCCTGCCGTCCTGGGAGCAGCACGTAATGACTCACAGGTAAAGCCACGGAACACGTGGCGACATATAGATTAACAAAAATGGGCTGAGTTTAAGTGTAAGAGCTAGTCAGTGGTAAGACTGAGCTAATGGCTGAGCAGTTTTAATTAATATACACCTCTGTGTGTTTACTTAGGGGACACGAGTGGGAAAGATTTGTCCTGACCGCAGGCCACGCAGGACACAGAAAAACTTCCAGCTACAGGGTATGAGAATATCCAGAACACATTACATACATGCATGAAATTGTCAAAGCACATACTTAATGAAAAATAATGAATAGAAAATTCCAGAAATAAACACTTCATTAGATTTAAATTGTATGCCCTTCCCAGCAGTGTGTTGAGGTCTTGCTCCCGTTTCGTCTTTCCTGGGATATGAATCATCGCGTAAGTGTATCCATGCCATGACCACTATCTTCCCATTAGTCACTTGGCTGTGTTAGTTACAGTTCTCATTGCTCTGACAAAAGTAGAAACTTAAAGGAGGAAGGATTTGTTTTGGCCGATGACTTGAAGGCACAGTTCATCCTGGCAGGAAAAGCATGGGCTCTGGTGTGGCTCTTACCTGTGTAAAGAGGCTTGAGCACATCTGGGTGGACCAAGGGGAAGAGAAAGCATGTTCGGCAGGTACTCAGCTGCCTTTCTCCTTTTCCACTTTTTGTACAGCCCGGGACCCAAGCCCATGAGATGTTGATACTCACATTTCAGATGGATCTTGTCTTAGTTAATCCTCTGCAGAAGCATCTCACAGATATGTCCAGAGATGTGCCTCTTGGCTTTTGGCATTCTTGCTCAGTCAGGTTGACATCATATTAGGCATCTCAGTTATCAGACCCACTATATTTGTATCTTGGTGCTGGGCTCAAATAACTCTTATTTTACCTAATAATGGACACAAAGATCAAGTAGTGGTCCTGACAATTTTGAAATGTCAAAGAAAAGATGTATAATGCTTCATTTAAGTGAAAAAAAATGAACTGGGTGTTGTCATGTACTCCTGTAAATCCTAGTACTCAAGAGGTCAAGGCAGGAAGATTGCCTAGAGTTCAATACTAGCCTAGGATATATAACAAGATCCTATCTCAAAAAATATGAAAAATTCAAGGTGAAATTTGGTCACTGAGATCTACAGTAAGAATAAGGTATATGTGTAATTATCATCTACTTGGAATCTCCAGTCATAACTGCTAGGATAAGGGGTATGTGGTGGGAAACTAATGTATTTCTAAGATAAATAAAGGACATAAACCTTAGAGTCTAGGTTTTTCTCTTAGATTAGGTTTCCCTGAAAATTTGCAAAAGCCGTGTGTGTGTGTGTGTGTGTGTGTGTGTGTGTGTGTGTGTGTGTGTGTGTGTGAGAGAGAGAGAGAGAGAGAGAGAGGGGGGGGACCTATGAGTATGCATGTGTCTGTGTGTACATCTCTATGTCTGTGTATGTGTGCTAGTCAGTGTATGATTCTGTGTCCAGAGGGCATGAAATTATGTGTGTTTAATTTCCACTGTTTTCTGGAACAGATCTTGTGGCTCTTTCAGCTGTTAGAAAGCCAAGTTTCCCTTCTGCATGATTCCCACTAGAGGGGATTTGGTCAAAGGACATTTCTCACCCATAAGCAAGGCAAGAATCTACAGTTTTATTTCCATGACAGAAAAAGACAATGACAGTTGTGTTACTCGAGGGTTTTGTAAATGAGGGAAATTTTGCTACCCTGGAATTTCAGTCCTTGTCACATTATAGGAACTAGTTATTTTGAGTCTTAGCCACATCACAGATTGAATGAGTGAAGAGACCCTCCTTAGCCTCTATTTTTTATTTTTCCTCTGCTCTGGCTTCCTCCTTTCCTTTCCTTCCCTTTCTCTTTGATGGGCTCCTCGGGTCCTTTTCTACCACCCTTGATTCCCTCTCTCCAGTTGTTTCTCTAATCTTCACCTCATATCCCCCCCTCACCAGGAGGTATCCCATATTTTTGTGGCCAATTCAATTTTAAGGTACTAAAGGCAGGTGGAGAGTGAGAGATGTAGAGAAGCACAGAATTAGAAGTTGATGTGTTTGAGAGCCTGTGAAAAGTCCCTGACCCCCCCAGAATCTAAATGGTTCCAGTCCTCACATTCCTTGTCTTTTGTGGCTTTTACGATTTCAAATTCAATAACCACATTTGTGTCCATAGCGTGAATTTCTTGAATTTGACTAAACTGATCCTGTGGATTTGATTCCATAAATGCCTTGAAGTATTCAAATAATTTTTTCCATTTTGTATCAAAGTCTGACAAAAACACCAGAAAAATAATTATTCTTGACATCACAACAGTTTAATATGTTAACTTATTCATTAAATTTTGTGCTTCACATCAATGGGAATCTCAGTTCTACAAACTATTATTTTTTAAATAGCAATAAAGGTTGGTAATGTCACAATATAGTCTCCTAATAACCAAGTTCATACATACTGCACAGAAACAAAAGAAGAAACACCTCCTAGAAGAAATAATTTGCATCTATTGAATAACTATCTTACATCTAGAATGGGGCACCAGATAAAGATTTAGATTTTTCTAACATTGATTTGATACACTAAAAATAGAAGAAGAACAAAATGCAAGCAAAACCCAGAAAGTACTTCTGGAAGAAAACTCTTGGTCATATGATTCAAACAAAGAATGACAAGGAGATGGAAGGTGTGGGATCACGGCTAAGTCACACAAAACTGCTTGTCAGGACATTGTTTTCCCAGCAAGAGCTGAGGACTTTTAGTCCTGATCTCTGGCCTTTCCCACAGTGAGGCAGAACATAGATCTCATAGAGTCACCCTCAGTTTGCTGAAGGTAAACAGCTGCAGTCTGTCCTGTGGATATTGAAGAAGACAGGCTCCAGAAACACCTTCATGTCAGTGTCTGCAAATTCAGCATTCCAGTGTTCCATCAGGGACCCCCAGTCCTTGCCGAGAAGTGCAGAGGCGTGCGAGCATTCTAGAGTTCACAACAGGCCAGGAATCAGGGCTCTCAGCACTGCTGCAGAGAGGTCAATTCTGACAACAGACGGTGAAGATGGGTCCACGGCCATTGGTCAATTCTGACGACAGACGGTGAAGATGGGTCCACGGCCATTGGTCAATTCTGACGACAGACTGTGAAGATGGGTCCACGGCCATTGGTCAATTCTGACGACAGACTGTGAAGATGGGTCCACGGCTATTGGTCAATTCTGACGACAGACTGTGAAGATGGGTCCACGGCTATTGGTCAATTCTGACGACAGACGGTGAAGATGGGTCCACGGCTATTGTATCCCAGAGGTGACAAAACTCATAATTCCCCTGCTTGCCTAGGAGGGCTCACTGAGTTTCAGAGAATTCACTCAGATGTGTCCTGGTGAATATGGTGAGGACGGAGCTGACACTGGCTAGTGTCCAGTAGAGACAGAACAGGATAAGAAGGGAAGTCAGAAGTGTTGAGAGAAAGAACAGCTGCATTATCCCCAGAAGTCATGAACTGGGCAGCGTTGGTCACCTAAGCCAGCCCACCACCCAGCCTGGAGGCTTTCAGATGAAGTTCTGGTGACCAGCAGACACACAATAACAACCATGGAAAAGGAAAACCTAAAACCACAGCTGTGATCACATCCGAGTGTTCTTGCCTGTGTGAAAAACAGCTCTCTGTTTAGTCCAACTCTTCCTCTCTAGTCAGCCTTCAGACCCCAGGTCTACCTGAGGCTCTAATTCTGCTTGTGGGTGTGTCCCATCTTGTGCTTTTCTAAGTGGCTAGAAGAATTAAGTCACATGTTTCTGGGCTACCTTTTATCCTAAGGACAAAAGCTATGTCTTCACCATTTTTCTGTATTCCACTATTGACTGGCACATATTTTAACCATCTGTCTCTGGGTGGTCTGTCCTTCTGGGCCCTACTTTCTTCTAGAGCTGCCCTACTGTCTGTAGTCCTCTGTGTCTTGTGTGACCCCATTTTGACCCTCTTCTCAGCCACATGACATGTCTGGTAAGGAATCAGATGGATTGGGTGAAGTTGTTTATTTATTACAGCTTAAAGCATTTCATCCTCCAGCAATGGGCAAAAGAATACCAAATAAAATATGAAATAACTGTAACGATATGCTGCTGATAAAATACCAGTGACGTGGGGAAAAAGTAGAGAGAGGGAGGCATTTTATGAGCAGAGGTCCTATTGATCAACCCTTAAGCTTTCCTAACAGGCAGCTACTGATTCTGAATTTCTTGAATGTTGTGTGTCCCATTGGAGTTGTAAGCTTATCCCCTCAGTCTCCGTGTTGGATAGATAGTTTGAGGGTGGAATAGGGCCGACATCCAGCTGCAGGTATCTGAGTGTCCCCCCTGAATTCCTGTGTTTTTCTCTGACTCCCTTGTACCACTCTTTTCCTGAGCCATTTCGTTCAAGGAAGAGGCCTCTTCACTGGGGGCAGAATTGAGAGTCTACTGGACCTGTCCATGGCATTTTCTAGGTCACTGTAGCATATTTTTGGTCCAGTTTTATGCTGTAGTTTGATTCTCTGGTTGTAGCCATGGAACAACAAGTTGAAGGAAGACAGAAATCAATAAAGATTTAGATTTCCCATTCTTGCAACTCCCAGTCCCAATACTGATGCCAAACAGAATATAGTGGTAGGAAAAGCTCCAAGGCCGAAAGACCATAGGCTCTGAGCAACTTCCTTGCAAATGAATGAGAACTGGTGTGTATGTGTGTGTGTGTGTGTGGGGGGGTCTTCCAACACCTCTGAATCTTCATTCCAAATGATCAAATGTAAAAGAATGGAAATGCCTGTCAGTGCATAAGAATGTAAGGCAGGCCAAGTGAGATACTACACAAAATGTTGTGAAAAGCATTAAATGCTGACAGAGTGAATTTTAATCTCATCATTTGTAAAACTGATGAGAAAATAAACGATACTGAAAAGGACTTGGCATTTTTTCCATTTCCTTTTGTTTGGGGGACTGGTAATTTTCTATCAGTATTAATTTTCCACCATTTCTTTAACAATCGAGCTCCCCCCCCCCACTTATCAAGACACCCAGCACTGAGAAATAAGACATTTTCTTGACTTCTCTGCAACTAGATGTGGCTGATGTCTTGACTCCAGCCAATGGTACGTGACTGCGAGCAGTACCTGTGATTCCTTGTGCTTCCACTCCACTCTCTCGAGTGAAAATTAGGTGGCTGTGGTTAGAGCAGACACCTTGGGCCAGGAGGTAGATGCTATGTCTTAGAATGAAGAAGCAATAAGAGAGGATTAGTCTCCTCTCCATCCAGACTTTTAAAACTATTATGTTAATGGTCTGATCAAATGAAGATCTTTAGTTCAAATTGTTGATTAGGTTTTTGATAAAGAAACACATCTTTATATTTTTTAGTAACATAATTTTTCTTAAGTGTTGTCAACATTGATTGGTGAAGTTATTAATTGTTTTCCCCAGTATCAAGAATAGGCTTCTAGGAAGCTGGAAGGAGACAAAAAAGTATCTGTCTTAGTCCATATCAAAATATGAACAAAATGTGTGTGACACATCACATACACACACACACACACACACACACACACACACACACACACACACACACACACACACACCCATATGTACTCCAGTCCACTGTCTTCTCCTGCAATTGCCAAGAGAAGGGAGAAAACACCTGCCTGGGAATTGGAGAAGCACACAAGGAGTGGAATTATCTAGGGATTGTTTTTCCTGTCTATGTAGTTGGAGTTAACATGGTTTGAGACCTTAAGGCTGATGAGTTCCTATGCATCCTTAGCTTCCTGTGTCTGCCACTGGCATCTCTTCCTGCAGCATCACCCAGCATGGAGCTGTGCAGTCAATTTTCAGAGAATGCACTATATCCCACCTCTCCATTTCTATCAAGCAGGACCCCGGGGATATGACAACTGTGATGCTTCCGAATGGAACTCTATGAGTGAGAGAGCCCATGCTAGTCTTTCCAATTCACTTAGCACTGGCCTGGGGCCAACACAGAGATGGTTTCTCCTTCTCACATCATTCTGTTGTCTGCTTCCAAGTGGAGGGAGGGTCACACATCCTACACTCAGCCTTGAGGTGGCGGAAAGCCTTTTGATACAAACTCTAAGATTCCAGAGGAATAATGTGGTGGTAGCAGGGGCTGCTTCCAGGATTCCTTGCTAAAAATGTAAAGTGAGTTTAAAAGAATCAATTAGATGCTTTCTAGTCTGTTTTGATTTTCCATTTGAAAAAACACTGAGGGGGTGTGTGTGTGTGTGTGTGTGTGTGTGTGTGTGTGTGTGTGTGTGTGTGTTGCATGTATGTATGTGTGTATCAGAGTTGATGGCAGAGGCACAGTTTTCAGGTTTCCATTTTTGGCAGAACATTAGATCTCAATGACTGAATGTGTTCTTTTCATCCCTCTGCCGTTCGCCCTTTCCCTACCTCCTCTGGAGCAAATCATCATAAAGCGATACATGGATATTTTGAGAGGCTTCATCTGTACAAATGAAAAAGCCATAATTAATTGTCCCACTTTAAATTTACTTTTGTGTGTGACTCAAAAATTATGGTTGCTAAAGAAGTCTTCCATCTCTCAGCTCACCAGTGAGATAAGGATGAGGGGGGAACTCACCCTAGGGGAGAAGGACTCAGGATTACTGCAAGTGTAGACCTATCACTTTATGCCACCTCTGTGGATCAGGAGCAAATACTTCAGTGTAAGAACATCTGGCTTCTTCTATGATTGGCAGGAATATTTACCCTACATAGGAAGCACTACATGAATATAGATCTTGTGCTTTGTGGCCAGCTAGGTCCACCTTACAATCTTTAAGGAAGGCTCATCCCATCTGTGGGCTTCATCTTCTCAGCTATATAATGAGGACTAGCAATATCCACCTTGTTATGCTGGATATATTGAAGGTGTAGCATGGGGCTTCTCTTAGAACATGCATGACGCAAGAAGGCCATCCAATGATATCATTTCATTCAGTACACTAGACGCCAAGCACAGTAAGAGAAACATCAAAGCTACTTCTCCATTGGAATCTACAAAAGATGCTAGGCTCCCTTGCATCAGTCCCTCCATAAACATTGGGAGATGATGGCCGTTCAACCCCAGAGAGAACATTCTGAAGGCTGAGAAGTGGCTTGTGTAAAGCTGGCTTAAACATCAAACACATAGGATATCAGTGAAATAGGTCTTCCACTCTGATTTCTGGGTCTCAAGCCTTTGGCCTTTAGCTGCTTGAAAGAATTGATCTTACAAACATGTTGTAAAACTTTCTACTCACTCTGCTCCTCCACTGAATGTGAGGCAAAGGCTTTCTACTCCCTCCTTCCTATCCCTTTCCAGAAGTGTCTGTTGTTGTGGCTTGGGAAGGGTAAAACCAAGGAACCTAGGGCAATGCAGCATATTTTTGGTCCAGTTTTATGCTGTAGTTTGATTCTCTGGTTGTAGCCATGGAACAGGCAATGATTGTGTGGGAAGACAGCGGTTTAAGCACCCTGTAAATGTCAGATGCAGCGTCCTTCTGAACTGATAACACTGTCTCACGGATGCCATGCTGCAGCTCCTGGCCCCACTCATATATTGACTTGGGATGTATTGTGTGTCCTCATTGGTTCAGCTCCTGTACTTTAACTCAAGATTTTTGAAAACATCTTTTCTTCTGTGATAGCAGAATTTCAAACCTGGCTGAGAAGGTGTCTGCCCCACAAAGGCAAGAGTCTGACATTTTTTTAATGTAACAACTAAGGTTCTAAAGCTGGCTTAGAAATGGAGGTTTTCTTCTGCTTTCTTTGCTCTCATTCTCCTAATTTTTAAAAATTTATTCTTTACTTGGAGGATTAACACTGATAAAGTACAATCTCCTTAGTCATTACTAAATAAGTGTGTTCCCCAAAATGTCCCATCAGTGTTCATTTCTCAGGGTCATAACCAACCCTACCTTGTGTTCACTCCCTATCCCCTAAAAGATCAAGTGGACCTGTGGCTTAGGGCTCTGATGTCAGAGTTTGTAGGCTAAGAGTCTCTAGTTATGGTCAGTATTATGGTAATCTTGTTTAAAACCATCTGCAGAGACAAACCATGTTATTCATGATTTAAACCTCATTTGAACAGTTCCCAAATTCAACACAGAGTGAGAAGGGTCATCTAAGGGCAGAAGGGTCTTTCTCTCTTTCTCTAAACAGACCAATGGTCTATTGGGTGCACTGTGATGAATTCAGCAGAGCATACAAGCCATGGTTTTGGTTTTCCTGGGTACTTCTGTGGGCCTCAGGCTCCCTACTTGACCCACTGTGAGTGTCAAAGATACTATATACTGTCTCCTTTCTGAGGCCTCTCTTCTGACCCCCTAAAGTGGTCTGTTCAATACATTTCCACCCCACTTATATCAGTGATCAGAAAATGTCTAGAAAAGGAAAAAAGAAAACAAGATGGAAAATTTCCAGTTGAATTGAAGACGAAGAGGAAGCAGACATTTGAATTAAGTCACACACAGCCAGAGATCCTCAGCCTGACCCAGCTTCCTTCTTCAGTGTAATCCAACAGCAGGACAAGGTGCCTGCTCATCTCCCGGTCATGAAAAAGGAGCAGGCGGAGGGTCACCATCTCACCACCTGGCTGTTGTAATCCTCCGTGACAGTCCCCTCTGTGGCCCCATCCTCTTTGGGCCATCGATGTGCTCTGTGTTCTCGCTGCAGCCTCCGCTCCTCACGCCTCTTTTGGCGGTCCCTCTGGTGCTCTAGCTGTTTGGTGTGGTGGTACCGTTGCTGGAAGAGATCTTTTGCATATTCATAAAGCTGCATGTCCAGGAAGTTCAATTCCTCGATGTGCTGACGGGCTCCCTCATTGATGTCCACATTGGAAGCCCGTGTGATGTTAAACTGTGTGAAAGGGGAGATGAACTTCAGGTTGAATGTCCTCTCAAAGAGAAACTGTGTCTTCCTCTGGAACTCCGTGAGCCCGAAGAAGGCCATGTTCTTCAGGTTGCTCTTAGCACTTTGCAACAGGATGGTATTGCGCTCACTCTCATTCATGAAAGTCAAGTTGTAGCAGCCCACCAGGCTGAGGTCAGCCAGCATGCGCACCTGCCGGTTGTTGGCCAAGTTGTAGCTGCAATCCATGAACTCCCGCAAGCTGACCCCAGACCAGTCATCCCCTGGGTAGCAAGTAGGCAGCTCATCTGGGGTGGGGCTCCTTCCATCACACATGTGGAGAGAGGTTTTCCACGTGGCCCCTCTCTGAACATGTTTCCATTCACTCAGGTAACGTGACACGGGGTCCCGCAACATAGTGATGTAGTAGAAATTCCTGGAAGAGATTAAAAGCGGAGGTCAGTGGTTGGCAATACACTCTCATTCTGAATCTCTGGTGTCTGTAGCAATGCCAGGTGGACGGGCACTACTGCTAAATGCTCAAAGGAGACCATTAGCCTGAATTTGCACTGACAAAGTGTGTGTGCTTGTATTCCTATCCTGACTTCGGGGACCAAGTGTCAATGCTAAGTTTATGGAGACTTTTCTACCCCATGTGGATGGGGTGGAGAGGAGCAATGAATCATTCATTCACTCATTCATTCACTCAGCAGTTAGTCACTAATAAAGTACTGATGGCTTTAATATGTCACATTTAGTGTAAGCATAGAAGGTTTAAAAAAATACATCGCCCATCTGAAGTAGGAAAGGTTTACCCATTAGCTGTTTTATTTGAGGTTTAAACTTTTGTATTGTACATGGAACTGTTAGAGAAGGAACACAAAAAGCTCACTGGACCCAACATGGCAAGACCCAAACCCAACTCTTCATCTTCTCTCATGGCATCGCTATTCAGATTATAAAGTAAGGAGGGAAAAGGTGAACTGCCCACCAAGCCCTGTCTCTTGAAGTGCTTAAGAAGAGGCTGGATGTCCAACTGTCAGAAAAGACACCGCAGAAGAACAGAACACATGAGTCTTCAGAGCTCTTTTCTGTTTCTGAAACCCTACATTTCCCATTGCCTTTCCACAGTTTGATACCAAATCAGCCCCAGCCCAGGCCTTGCCTCATTGCTAGAGGCTTGCACTAGAAATGCAGGGCCAATCACATTAACTCAGAGTTTTCCTGGGGACACAGGTGTAGCTCTCATAATTCTCTTGGAAGAACCCGGGAACCCCTGTAAAATGCCTTGTATGCTGCCAAGTGGTCAGAAAGTGATCTGCCATGCCCCGAGGGGAAGGACTATTATGCAGTATGGCAACAAGCTTGGCACCCAGACAGAGAAGACAGTCATATGAACTTAATCTATCTTAGAATGTGCTCTTTGAAGAAGCCTGACAATAAAGTAAGCAGACATTTTGGCATGATACATGCACACATATGATAGGTGATATATAGATGATGATAGATGACAAATTAGATGATAGATAAATAAATAGATAGATAGATAGATAGATAGATAGATAGATAGATAGATAGATGTGATAGATACAAGACAGATGACAGATTCATAATGGATGTTATAAATAGGTGATTGGTAGATGATAACTAGTTGCATGACAGAAAACTAGATGTGACAGATATATGGTAGATAAATAGGTGATAAATAGATTACAGATAAATGATACATAAATAGATGATAGATAGATGAAAATAGATGGTAGATATTTAGGTAGTAGATAATCTGTTGAGTAATGACTTAGTGGCCACTGCATCATGTATATTTTGCCAATCTCTGAAATCAAGTAGCTGTAGATATTGTTTATTTAGAGATAAATGGCAAAGTATAACTCTATTTCAAATAAAGGCTATACCTTTGAAAATTGGAAAAAAAAATAGGAGAGGTTGGGAAATCACTCTGCCTCTCCTGTATTATCACAGTATTCTTCTCCACCTCTTGCTGCAGATGGAGGCCATCACATCAGGGCAAACTCTAAGATATGGTAAGATGCACTGTTACAAACTCAAAAGAAAAATGCCTTTGTTCGGGAATTCTATCATTGCTTGTGAAATGGTGAAGAGAGAAGAAGACAAAAACTAAGTTACATTTTATGTGTGTAAGAGCTCAGTGCCAAAGAAGATCATGGAAAGACACCCCATAGCAAGCCAAACTAATGGAAAATAGGAAATTAGCAATTCCCAAGGAAGAGAGCCCAGAAGTGCTTGGTAAGTATATAAGGAAAGGACAAAGTATGGGAGGCTGATGTTCAACTAACAGAAAATCTTACTTGCTCTCCTAGACCATTTACGCAAACTATTTTTCAAGATTGGGGACAAAATTTTCCTAGTTTTGTCTTGCATTTGTAATGACAATCTATTTTTATTAAAATAAACTTATTTAATTGCCTGAATGCCCCCTTTTTTTCATAGACTAACACTCAGGGTCTGCAGAGGTGAGTGTATACTAATTCTTCTTGTTTTTGTTTAGTATTCAACAAACTAAAAATTTGAGAAGACAAGAGATAGATTATACTTGTTATAAGTTACAGAACTTTAATTTAACCAGGTCTGCCTCACTTCAAGAGAACTCTTCCTCTGTCATCACATCATGACAAGAAACACTTCTCCTGGAAGAAGCATGCAACCCCATGCCTGTTCTACTTGGCCAAGGTGAATGAGATGGAAAACCTTTACATACTCAGTTACAACAATGAAAAATAGTTTGAAGATGAGTTGTTTTTATTCTGATTTTTAGAAATATTTGATGAAGAATTATCTTTTAAATTATATCTTTTCCTATATTCTGCTATTTTCAGTGCAGAACCTCACCAGTAGCTAAAGCAAATGGTTTTGGTATGTGCTAAAGAAACTTCGGAGAATGTAGCATGAATTCTGAGTCTTAATTTGTCCTTTTAATTCCAGAGGGAGAATTTCTTAAAATTGTCGTAGGTACTGGAGCCCAAACCCTTGCATTGCCCATCATCATTTTCCATAACACTGTTGTCTTTTCACATAATGGAAAGATAATACAACATTGGAAGAATGTGTCTTAAAAGGTCAGCAATGAATCAGGAGGTGTATAACATGACTTCCAGGCTCAGGAGTAGCCATTGCTGATCTCACATAGCCCACAGAGGACATAGATGAGTAATGCTGAGTGTTAGATAACCCCCGCTTTGTACTTAATGGGGGACTGCTTCACATTTCACTTCCACAGCAGAGACCGATCTTTATTCCACAAACAATTTCATAATAAATATTATGAATACAGTAATGATAAAGGTGTAACTCTGGGGATTATGTTTGCCAAACACGCCAGGGCAGTAGAATTTAAATTAGAAAGGTGTTCAACTGAGCCAAATTAGACCACAAGTGGAATATTATCAGCTTTCCTGTTAATTATATCAAGTAGAAGACATACAGAAGTATTTCAACAACAGCAAAATCCAGTGACAGTAAGATCTAGGTTCTGTTATATGTCTCAAATTTTATACATCCAGATTTTTAAAACGACAGAGTTGAGGGTGTATGGAGGTAAGAATCCCAAGGTTAGTCATATCAAGACCCAGGTTAATCTGCAGAATCAAGTGCTTTAATCTTACTTGGGAATACCAGGCATAGAATGTCTGGTAACTTTGCTTCACCAGATATCAAGTGACTACATGATCTTAAAGAAAATTTAAAATGATCTTGGATTCAAACTCAACGATTTAACTTCACATTGCATTTAATTTTGCCTAGTGATATTTATATAAGTCTCAGGTATCTCTGAGGTTTACTAGCCAAAGGAGTCAACTTGTAAGTAAATTTAAATCTGACACCAAGACCTAAATCTACAATACAGTTCCTGCACCTACAGCTCAGGGACCATTGGGGAAGAAGTGGCAGAAAGATTGCCACAGCCAGAGGAATAGAAAGTTTGTTGTGAGAACATGTCTACTCTAGAAATGTTAGAAAAGTTACATTCATGAAGTCTCACCAACAGGATGTCTAAACATGGCCTGAAGGAGGAAGACACTGATAGACAGATTAACTTGGAATGGGGAGTGTTCACAAGCTCTCATCCAAAGCCCTAGATGGAAGACTAAAGGAATGCTGAAAGCAACAGACCTCCCTAAGGAGGAACATGTCAATTGATTATCCAATACTAATGGTCAGTCCTGAAAACATAAATATAAGTAACATTACATGGTACTGTGTTATTGTTTGTTTTTGCTCTTTGGGGGACCCTGCCACGCAGTTCCCAAATAAGTCACACATGGAGGTTTATTCTTAATTATAAATGTCTGGCCTTACCTTGGCTTGTTGCTAGCCAGCTTTTCTTAACCAAATTTTCCCATCTAGCTTTTGCCTTTGGCCCTTTACCTTTCTTGATTTCTTTTTATCTTTCATTATTTCTCACTCCATTGCCGGTTGTGTAGCCGGGTGGCTGGTCCCTGATGCTCTCCTCTTTCTCTTGCTCCTCCTTCCTCTTTCTCTCAGATTTCTTCTTCTATTTATCCTCTCTGCCTGCCAGCCCTGCCTATCCTTTCTCCTGCCTTGCTATTGGCCGTTCAGTTCTTTATTAGACCATCAGGTGTTTTAGACAGGCACAGTAACACGGCTTCACAGAGTTAAACAAATGCAACATAAACAAAAATAACACACTTTAAAATAATATCCCACAACAGGACTGACCATATTGTATTATATAGTTAGACACATAACACACACACACACACACACACACACACACACACACACACACACACACACACACACATTCACACAGACTATACACACACCAATGACGAAATAAAAGGAACCATGAATTTGGAAGAGACCAAGGTAGGTATATAGGAGAGTTTAAAGGGTGAAAGGGGAGGGAAAATTATGTTATAATAAAATGATTTTTAGAAGTACAGGGAAAGGAGCTAGAAGAACATTGGCAATGATGACTACCAAGTTGTCCAGCTTGTGACTTTGGATGCCAGTAGCTAACAGAATTTGAGAAGTGGTATAGTCAGACATCACATGTTTACTTTACCTTTTTCTGTCCTATAATACAGCCAAAATACAAAATCAGGAAAATTGTAAAAGTAACATATAGCCTTGAAGGACATCCAACTAATGAAGATAAACATGAAATTAAAATTAAATTATTTTTTAATCATCACTAATTTTTCTCTTCTTTGATATGCTTCCCCCCCATACAAAGCTTAGTGGAGCTTTAGTGAAGCGATGCCTATGTCTGGGCCACAGATACACCCTATTTTACCTGCTGACAGAGCAAAGCTCTGCAGAAATTGTCTGCTCCTGCTGGAGTTTTGATCAGGAATGTTTTCCTTCCTCCAACACCCATGTGGCCACAGCCCAGTTCTCATCACAAGGTTACTGGAAGATGATGGAGCTTGTTCA